CACCTCTGAGTGATTTAAACTGTTTGGTAATACCATTATTTAGTTTTATGTCATAGTTGACATCTTCATACATATTTTTAATTACATTATATAATTTATCATTGATATTGTTTTTCAGCATTTATATGAGACCCATATCTCGCACATGCGTGGCTCGACGACCACCGCGCTTTAAAAGACTTCGCATTTATTAAGGTCGCGACAAGGGGGAAACGAGTGAATTTGCATTTCCCCCCAAATCTCTGAATATATAACATAAAATTGAATGCTTTATTATCGTTTGTCAAAATTTACTGTATGCGATTTCAGTTCAATTGAAACAAAAATTAAGTGAGTAAATGAGAAGACGAATACGATCATCATTGAATATATTTGATGACAAATTAGCTATTCATCCGCAGTAAAATGCGAAGACACGCTTTAAAATATTGCGTTTTTACGGAAACAAATTTTAACTATCGTTACTGTGACAACTGAAAATATCGTTTTTCATCAGACGTACTACTCAAGTAAAACATGTTTAAATAACTACATGCCATTTTAGCGAATTTGAATTATAATTTAGCTAAAGTTGCAACAATCTCGCTGTGAGAATATACTTTATTTTAAATTAGTGACATCTTGAATTAGCGAAATTACAGATTAGCTAAATTAGCTAAAATAACATGCTAGCTAAAAAGACATGTTTTACAGTATATCTTCAAATTTAGGAGACTCGTCGGAAAACAAATTTCAAAGATTATTGTAATATAACAGTAAACAAATCGCAAACATAAAAAAAAAATATTTCTTAGAGACGGGCTTAATATCTGGCTTAATATCCTTAATTAAAACTACAACTGAATTATTTGCGCACAGGATAATTGTACAATATATGATGTCCTCTTCTATAAACACACACACATTTAAACGAATTTCGTAACTAAGGTAATAATACGTGAAAACAGTGTTAACAGTGTGTGGCACTTTGAAAATTGATAAAAATATTTACAATACTACCTATATACTACTGTTAGTTTTAGCTGTTATGGTCCGGTCTTCAATTCATAACGCACTCTTGTTTCGATCACGTGATTAATGCACGGCATATATAGTACTTGTATTTTCCAATAAAAATTACTTAACCATGTCACGTGACATAATGTATACATTTGACGACTATTGGATCACGTGATAGTCGATTATCCTTATAAATCCATAAAAGCCAACTTCAGATAATTCTACGTCACGCCCGTTGCTATGGCGATGGTGTATATCTCATTAGTACGATGTGCGTACTGTTTTCAATGTTGACATTGTTCAGACTATATGCGCGCTGATTGTTTAGAGATAAGAACCGTGCTCATTAAATAGAGAATAATTCAGTAGGTAAATGGCATTTTTCATGAATAATAATAACGTTGGATTGATTTCCCTAGTCTACTTATGCGTTCTCAGTGCGCCTGCTCCGTCATCCTTTCTCAGCTGTGTTTAAGACATAACAGTCACGTTGTTTGGCTTTGTAGCATGGATGAGTTAGGTTACACCAGATACAGTCGCCATCCTGGACTAATAAGGTGCGATCTGTTCTCCATCAGTTCACGGATCTGTTCAGTGCGTTCGAGAGTTATCTTTCTCCACAGTACCACCATGATCGGCTGTACAGGTAAGTTGGCAGTCACGTTTAGAGGTCATGTTTCTCTGACAATTCGACATTGTAATCGATCGTTTTCTACGATTGATGTCTCCCAGTTTGACCTTAATCTTTCTCAAGGTAATATCATGTTTTTGTTTTTAAAACCTTGCTCACAATATAAGTGTAGTTTAATCATTCATTTCGCTGTTGTCGGTATGTACATGGAATACAACACCTACTGAAATACCAATATATTTCTTTATGAATTTATTTATGGAAACACTTACACTTAAAATTGCATAACTCAATAATAACTAAACTGCTGGGAACCGTAATTACAAAAATCATAATATTATAAATACTAAATTATTTCACAAATATATCATTCTACAAATAAAAAAAAAACACCACAAGGACAAATCATGGCAGATATCATATAACGAAAACATGTACCACGTGAGGGATAAGAAGTATAAAACAAAGTATTGTCAATTGTTAGTTGAAATAATATTTTTTTTAAACATTTAACATCGCGCGAGTACATTCAGTATCTTGCCTGCAATCTGTATCAAATTTGATAACATGAAATCTGAGCAAACATTAGGTGGTATATCAATGACGTCACTTCTTAGAACGCATGCGTAAACGTGGCAGTCGCCATATTGGAAATTTGGAGCTGAGTGAATTTGTCAACATTGAACTGACGGCAAAATGATCGTCGAACCGTGAGTATTTTCTCGTCTCCGTTTTACTTGTTCTCAATGAGTTACGCAAATTCAAGTTTGAAAGTGCTTACTTAAAATTTACCGTAAAAGAGAAAAATAACTCTGGTCAGTCGCTGTACTTAGCCTCGTACATGTACATGTAAAATTGCATAAGGCTTTAACTTAACAGACCAGTCACTAACATAATGAGCTCGGTATTTTATGCGACGCGGACAGTCTATATTATAATGCAGTTATGCAGATGTAGTCAATCGTCACGTCTCAATTTTCACCGTATTATTACAGTGGAAATACATGGATTACACATTGCCACGGCCAGCCACATTGCAGACTGAAATATAAACAAACAACAGGCATTGTTTTGAAAAATCTCAAAGGCTGCCCACCCTTTGCCATGTCTCTTCAGTTTTGTTTGTGACAATACTTGTGAAGTTATTTGCAAATATAGATAACGTGAAGCCAGAAGACGAGTTCAAAACAACTTTTTATCCTTCTAGATTGATATTTGCGTCGCATACTTGTGTGTGATGCCCAGTCCCTTGACTGACCTGACCCTGAAATGTTATTTTCAGTGATCAGTGTATAGGACATCTGTTTTATATTACTTATCATTCCTATTATTTGTTGCATGATAAAAAGGCCTCTTCAGTTTCAGCAAAAACTACATATAGTGTCTCAAATCCCTAGTACGGTTTTCGTAGCAACTCTGTGCTCGAACCGGGCAGAGAAGCAATTCCTCCTGATCCTCCGGGACGGTTAAATGAATGTAGTCAAGACTACATTCATTTAAGAGAGTAATTGCAATATTTTTATAACTGAACATTTCTTGTACCACAACAGGATTTGGATACCTTAGTTGCTACACTAATATTTCTAAAAGTAATACGTGTCAGCTGTCTGTCTAACAAGGCCAACTGTAAATAGCTAATAAGTCACAAATGTAATTAACATGCTTTACTGAAACCTGTGGGGAGATTCATTTCAATTATTGATCTTTTATTCATAACCATGTTTTCTTCGTATTTCATTTTTTGCATGTAATGCTATGAGAAACTAGCACACCCAGTTGTAATTTGGCCAATATGTGTTCCGAACGTCGGAGTAAACACCGTATTCGTAATCGGGCAATGAGAACGCCTCCCGCCCTACAAATTGTTACTTGACGCGATATTGGCAATTGGCAACATTGTATGTTTTTGCGCTCGTTTTGAGCAGTTGCTTTCCAGTTGTTTACGAGTTAACATCTGTATTACGTTGTTGTTGAAGAATAAACGAGATTGAGTTCCAGTTACATGACGTGTCCGTTTCAGTGTTCACTTCCGTGACTGAGAGACCCGAACCTCACCTTCCCCCAC